TGATCATTGGTTACCATTTTAATTTAAATTGAAACTAGATTAGTTTAAAATATTTATAGCAGACACTAGTCTCTGAGGGACGATATTCGGACTTGATAAATCCACTTTATTACTTGTCACAATCCCTACACTTGCGGAATTTCACGAACACCACGAAAAAATAAGAAAAGAAAAAACTCCTAGCATCAATCAATAGCAACATGGTTGATACTAAGATTGCTCGTGGCGTCGAAAACTACTAAAAAATAAATAAGCGTGATTCCCCCTAAACAATAGAATATATTCACATGGAAATGAACATATTTACAAGTTATATCATCCGTAATCGCCAGAATCTCGAGAATTTTTTTGAACCAATCACATATCAGAGTAAAAGAGAGAATATAATCAACATTCAAGTGACTAAAACACGAGGTAAAAAGTTCACTGCGTTAACACAGCCAGTTATCCACGGTTTCTATAATGAAAAACAGGAAAAAGTTACATATTGATTCTTCAAAGTCAGTCATTCTATCAATAACGAATTTCTTTGAAAATTTATTCTTAATTTTCTGAATTTATGGTATATCACATTAAAAAAATCCTCCTATAATTTGAGTTAAGTTTTACAGACTCGGAAATACACAAGTCAAAAGTTTGCACAGAACTCAGACGACTTCTTAGCCTGTGCAGATGATGTTTGTGCATCCACATCCTTCCAGTCTGCCTTGCAACCCCACACCCGGATTGCAAGCCTCCGGCACATCGGAGAGGGTTGTTTTAAATAAGTGTTGTAACAGTTGATAATATCCGTCTTTCGAATACCCCTAAGCTCCTCGACTTCCTTATGGACATACAAATGATCCCAGTGTGACAAACAAAGGAATCAACAACTCCTTTCTCACTTGCTTAGCTATAAAGATTAATGGAATGTCTTTCTTCTCAGTCAGCAGGGGTGGTAGCTGATGGTTAACATCAATGCTATGTGTATAGGAAAAGTACCCGCCGAAGCCGGAGAAAATACACACAAATAGGTGGGCCCTAATTTTTTGGCAATATTTAATTCACACGGGTCCGCCTCCCATGTGAGTGGAATTCAAATTGGGGAAATTAGACTGCATACTCT